TGAATTTACATTGACAAACAGAATAAATTAATATTTATAAAGTATATGGATCTACTCACTATAGTGGAGTAAAAGAAAAGTTAAAATTCCTATTTTGTGTTGAAATGTTTGCAGTTCTGTTTGTATAAAAATAACATTATTTTTTATTTCTCTACAAATATGTGTTTAAATGACCAAAACATTTTTTTTCGTAAATTATTAATTTTCATATAGATCCATTTACTTAATGTAATAACACTTATGTAAAATAAAAAAATGTTCATATTTTGTTAAATCAATAAAGAATTTGATATTGGTTTAAAATAGACTCAATTATCCTTATGTTTTATTTCGATAGAAACCTGTGAAGGAATATATTTTACATTGATGTGTTTATATTATAATGATATTATTTATCATTTTACAATTATTATCTAAAAGCCCATCTTTAAATGAATATAAATTATTTTAAAAACTATTTTAGCTTAATTTTCAGAAAAAGCTTAATCACTAAAATGGAATTATTTGTCAAAATATGTGTTATCCGAGTCATTTTCTGAAATTTATTTTAAATATAACAATAAGATTGTGATGAGGTTTCTCAATAAATCATAATACATTAAATTATATACATTTCATCGTATTTCTATATTCTGAGTATAGAAATATGATATAACAATGTGTATCATATACGTGAATTTTCCGATAAAACAAAGTAATGAGAGCACAGAGCGTAATACCCAACTCAGAAATAAACATAAATAACACCGTAAAACAATTAATACACATAATTACTTGTCAATACCAACCTATTAATAAAACACATTATTTTAGTGAAATGACAATAATATTATGAACATGGGCTTTAGCTGTTAATCGATACTGATAATTACATTTTTCCAAAAAATTGTAATGTTTCATTTACAAAAATTAAAACCCTTAGTAATACACTTACATTTACTAATAAAAAAACTTGTTAACAGACATTTAGCCATTAAATGAGAATAAGTTATGATGAGCGTTTTAACGTCATTAAGGTGTGCACAGTTATTATTACTGGGCGATTTAAATTTAAAATTAAAAACATTAACATAAAATTCAAAACATCGTTTAACAAACACTGTATTATTTTAATAACTCCAAGTAGAAGCGCCTCATGAAATTGATTAATAATAATTCATTGTGCTTAAATGTTTTAAAGGTTTGGAACACAATTGAAGAACTTTTTGGTAAGACTTACAAGATTCATTATGATGTCGGGTTCGATAACATAAACACAATTTATGTCTTAAATTTTATACAAACTATTCGAAACTTGAATACCATTGTAAGTACATATATACATTTATTTTTAGCTATAAAGTTTATTATTGTGATCAATTAAAAATAAACAATTACTTAAAAAAAATATGAAAGGTTACAACAAAAGAAAACGTAAATTTAGATTGTTTTAATAAAAAACGACATTTTTTTTTCAAATTTAGACAATTTTCTTATTAAAATAAATGAAAAACAATATTTTAATGTATAAAGTAATAAAATTAGGCTTTTACACAGAATTAAAAAAACGTTGTCTCCTATTCAACTATTATAGGCTGATGTAAAGTGAAATAATAAAGTTCCGGGGTATTTGAACACCCAATAATCTGAAAGTCATTGTATACTCCACAAAAAATATATCTTTTTGCTATTTTGAGTAATAAGTCAATAGACTTTTAAGATAAAACAAAAAAATGTTATCGGATTTTTTATTTTTAATTTTTATCCTTAAAATATATGTCACAGACAGAACTTTACCTACTGTACCAAATTACTAAGCTATTAACGTGAAAATTCTGATCAAATTCTAAGATCTACCTTCATATTAGAACTATCTATGAAAATAACAATACATTTGTTAGAAAATTTAGGTTGGAAGTGATAAAAACAAATGTATGTGATGATACAAGTACGAATACGGCTAATTATTTTTAAAATTCATTAAAAATCGATATGATTTTTTCATTTAAATTATAAGATATTGTAAAGAAATGAGAAGTTGAAATTGACACGAAATTATAAGATTGTGTATATTGAACTTGCATTTATTATTTTTATAAGATTTCAAACTATCGCTTTTCATACATTTTTATTAAAAAAATATATCCTTACAAATGCTTATGCGATATGCTAGTGTTAAATAACTGGAATTTATGCCTTTTTTATAGTTTTAATCAAAAGCAGTATATCATGAATTTATTATTTGATCTATAATAATAAGAAATAATTAATTTGAAAAATAAGTTACTGACTATAACTTACACTTGATCTCAAGATAATTTGGACTAAAATAAAACTTCTATATTTTAAAGTCTACTTAAAATAATTTATACAAAAGAAGATTAATCTCACTAATACGTTTATAATATCTCTGTTATTATTAAATTTATCACAACGTAAAAAATATATTTAAAATACTATAGCATGTAACATTATAATGTTTTTTCATGATTGTGAATTCTTTTCATAGAATTAGAAAATATTAATATTCAGAATATTTTGTTGTATGATCTTTGAATAATATTTTTTTGGAACAACACCACTTAAAAAGTTTTTTAGCTTAAATTTATAATGAGTTTAAGTTAGATATGAGTTTTTATTTAACTAAATGTAGCATAATTCTTCTTTTTAATTTTTAGGCATTATTTTATTTCACAAAAATGCAACAATTAATAATTGGAATGAAATCATTTAAATCAATAGAAAAAAAGAATTTGCTTTTAAAATAAATATATCATAAGGTATTATGTATAATTACCATATAGCGGGTTTTTTTTTTATTTTTTTGTAAATAATTATTTTAATTAATAAAATTGTATTAAATTTGGGTTATGGAGGTAATTATTCATTTGATTCCAAACCTAAAATGGATACATTATTTTTTTATAAATACATTTCTTTCAATAAATCCCACTGTATAATAAATCAAAAACATTAATTAATTAGTAAAACTTGATTTTTTTAAATTGAATTTTTTATTGCTTAAGTATTGACGAATATCGCAATCGAATGCTTTTTACACTAAATCAACGTTATTTATACACTTCGCATATATCTAATTCATATCTGCGTTATTGGAACTCGACTATTTAATGATGAATGAGAAACATTATACTTTTACTTTTAAATAAGTATATTTAACCATTTTTTCAGTACTCCAACTGTAATATTTAAAATAATACCAGTTTTTACGGTAATATGTTTTATAGTTAAATATGAAATGAAATATTAGCAATTAAATTAAATTTATATGGAATATGTATGTATGGATTAAAATATTTGAGATTGAGAGCTATGAATTTTATTGATATACTAAGTCAATCAAAATGCAATATATATATTAGTTTTTGAAAATTGTATAAACTCAAAAATTACGTTTAAAAAAATAGCTATACTCTCTATTATAACTATAATATATGAGTTTGCTTTATAAAATTGTAAAATAAAATGAATTTTCATAGGAATTTCAGATAAATATTTCAATGTCACTCATCTGTTCATGAATGAATTTACACGTGATTTGAGAATCTCTACCACAAATTATTACACTCCATTAAGATGTATCTAGATTGAAAGTTAAATAAAATACCACCGTGTGGTGAAAAGAGATAAACACGCCTAGTACAACTTGTCGTTTTACAGCGACCAAATCATTCAAAATGACAGGTGCGAAATTGAACATTTTCTCCTAAATACATTCTATGAGAATTAATTAAAACTAAAGTCACGTACTAGAAATTTGAAATGGTCCTTCATACATTTTACACTGAGCGCATCTAAGCTTATCCTTAACTAACGATACTAAACAAGGCTCAAAGATTTAAGGGCGTGTCCTCATAAAGAATAGAAACATAACGTGATCACCCGTTTTTATGTTAAATGAAAATCGTGTTTTTAGCTTTGATACGTCGCTGAGAAGCTATTGGTTTTACTCTCTTGTGTTTTATTTTTTGTGTCACTACACGCGATATCTCCGTTCTTGCTGAAACGATTTTACTCAATGATACGTCAAAAGTTCACATATTGTACCTAAGGAAGACATTACCCTCAAAAATTAAAAAATGTTTTTCATTCTTCATAATTGGGGTAAATTCCCAAAAATTTAAGATTATTACAATCAGTAAATTGTGACATCTTTAAATCTTTTACTAAATACTTTTACTTCAAACTTCTATAACTTTCGAGATAAAGAGAGTCAGAATATTTTTTTTTCATGATAAATACTTACAATTTTGTTACATGTCTGCCATGAAGGTAACAAATTGTACATATACTTAATTCTTTATAATTATTATTATTCTATATAATTCTTTATAATTTTTCCGTAAAAAATAAAACACTAATTTATTGAATAATAATTTTATACTAAATTTAATTACTATTATAAGTATTTATTCATATAATATATTTATAAATCATATAATTTGTAATCAGGATATAATTAATTAATCATCTATTTCAACTGCGACATATATTTTCATTTAGTTTATACTATTTTAGTCAACATTTGTAACTGTTAATAAAAGTTAACGTTTCAAAAAAATATATATAACAAGAAAACAAATGTGATAACCCAGAAAAGTGTCGGTTAGGCCCAAGAGACATACATGCATTTTGGTACACCGTATTAAGTTCAAGAACTTTTTTTAGTTGCTCTCAAGGTCCTATGTGGACATTAATGATGAATAAATTTTACTTAGTTACTTTTACATACATAAATTTATAATTCTTTTAATTTTAAATTTTTTAGATTTTAACAATTTAATAATAAGAAAATCATAAAATTTCCATTTCTCAAGATATCGAAAAAAACTGTTCATTTTTTTCAGGCTACAAAATATAAAATTATTATTTTTCTTTTAATTCAAACTAGAAGTTATATTATTTTTTATGATCTATTTTTAAGTTACTTTTAAACTTATCATCTTCAAATATTATATTTAACTATTCTAACGCAAAAAATTATAGAATAATATACGAACCTGATAATAATCCATGTAATTTCCGAACCCCATATGGTTGCATGAACATGTACAAGTTTGTAAATGGTATTTTAGATCTAAATCTAAGTCTACATTAGGTTCTCTATCAAATATCCCAGCAACGTGAGATCTTTCCCTTTGGTCCACGGATTTTTTTGAATTTTGACGTTTGCCATAATTGAATTCGAACTCCACTCCAGCTAATCTTGTATTCATTCGAACACATGTGGACAGTTGTCGGCCGCATCGCTCTTGTAACAACTGTTCAACCATGATCTATATTTTACAAAAATAAGTCAATCTATTATAATAATTTTAATTTATCATGAAGCACAGTTAACATTAAATAAATTTCATTTATAATTATTGAACAGTCGAGGGCCTACTTCTCACAAAAATTAGTGGACACAAAAAAAAATTGGAGTTCATTTAAATATCATTAGTGATGTTGAATTTACATATACTATTCAATATAGTATAATTTTGATTAATATATAAAATATTTCATGTACCTGCAGGCATAAAATGTTAAATTTTTTTATAAAAATCGGTAATAAGAATTTACATAAAATGAAAACAAGCTCAAATAATTAAAATCTTTAATTTTTTAGTTGAAAATGTAGTAAGCTTATTACATTTTTAAAGGCGTGCCAAAATTCATCTTGCAGACGTCGCAGTGATATCGCTTTGTGAGGTGTGATGTTACATTATAGTGCCTATGGTAGTCACTGAGATTTCTATGTGATCCTAAATATCCATCACTCAAATGGGCTCAATATGACGGATTCGAACCCCATTATGTCAGTGATATACATTATACCTAATAAGGACTATACAATGTGTTTTAAGAATATAGTGATTCCCTATTTTCATAAAACTGATGCGCAATCAGCAGAGGTAAAAGATATGGCTGGAAGTTTACAAAACCTAGCACCGGACAAACTCATATTTATCTATGATATAGTATTTACATCTTACAAGATGTCTTTTATGTTCTATTTTAATAATACAATTACACTTCAATTAGACGTACTTATTGAAATGTTAAATTTTTAGGGTAAGTTGCAATAACTATCTGTTGCGACTACCAACCAGTAATAAGGTGATGATGCCTCGTTATAAAAAATTGGGTGTAACATAAATATTTGATAATGCTAACGAATACAATGGTACTGCAAAAATTCTGTATGAATTTACAATTATTTTTTATTTCATTATTACTAAATTATTAGTATAGATTTATCATCTTATGTATTCATTAATTTTTTTTTTTATATTTATTTTTTATAATAGAGGGGTGGGTTCAATGGGGGTACTTATCTTTCTCACCTATATAATTATACTGTTTAACCTAAAATATAGGTACAAATAATTAAAAAAAAAAAATTTAAGTAAATACCACGAAAAACAGTGATTTTCTTACACAAAAATAATATTTTACATAGTTTTTGTCTTTAACTAGATACAATTTGTAATCTTTTGACGAATCTTTTAAAAAATGGTCCGATGAGAACTGAGAAAGTGGTCACAGACATAAAAAAATCAATTTTTATCAAGTTTTATGTCAAAAATGTTTAAAATATTATTTTAAAATGAATACATATGTGCAAATATCTTTATAGTAATTTGAAAAAAAAACTAATAATTTCAAAACAGATATTATTCCAGTTAATATGAGATGTATACATTATGATATGCTTGTAGATATTATATTATTGAACAATTTTGTTATCAATTTATAATTTTACCAAAACATGAATTCGGTGATTTAAGTAAAAAGTCTTAATTATAAAACGCAAAATCTATCAATCCAAAATTAAATATAATATATATAGTATATGTGTATGTAATATTATATTACTTAATAAATACATCATGTTTATATAACATGTTCATGTAGTTCGGTTAATTGTTATGTGATACAGAAATTCAAAGCGACATAAATACCGCCAGCGAATCTGTTTTGATAATAATAAATACCTTTAAATTACAAATTTTTGGATATATCCTTGACAAACGGCTGTTGAATTTTCAACTACTGCACATTTTTAATTTTGATTAAGTAAATTTTTGTGGTAGCTAATTGGACATATTGAAGGTGGTTATTGAACGAGCAATTCTTGTTATGAATAAAAATATATATATACGTGATGAACGAATACCATGAATTCAACATTTCAGGACCTTTGACTGAACACAACCCTTACCATCTACTCACTAGTCCAATACTCACGACAAATAGTTAACCCTAACGACTACAGTGACCTGAATTTTTTTCTCTTTTACCTAAACCACCACATAGCTAAAACCTTATAACATTTGATTTTTACAAGTGCTTTTAAAACTACCATTTTCACAGCCTCAGCTTTTTATGAGTCAAATACCTAAATACTTATAATATTAATTTAATAAATCAGTAAAATTGCAATGTAGATCACGTTTGCTATTTTAATAAGAAGTTTTTCCTAAAAAGTAAATGGCTAAATTTCGTTAAAAAAACATGAAAATTATCAAATATAACGGTTTGTTAAATTAATTTTCAATAAAAATATATTTGTGTAAATGTAAAAATTAAAAAATGTATTCAAAGTAATTTTTATCTACAGCTTAAGTACTCTTGCTAGTTATAAATATACAGAGTGTTCAGTAAGTCAGGAAACGGGTATCTATTGTTCTCATTGTTACAAACAATGAGAACAATAGATACCCGTTTCCTGACTTACTGAACACCCTGTATAGTCTTTTTATATACAGAATGATAATTAAAGATAAGATACTCATTTTCTTGGAAACTATTAAAAATTTTAACATTTCTTAAAGGAAAATATTGTTTGATTAGAAAAATTGAACAATAACATAAGATTAAATAATTTTTTTTTTTAACCCTTCAAGGAAACGGTACAATAGAAAAAATATTTCAAAAAAATTTGTTTTTATCATTTTTTTCGATTGATTGATTTGATTAATGGATCATTCGTCAGTTATTTTTTGTTTAAGTTAAACGATAAATGACTATAATTCTTTTGATAATTTGCTGTTTAGCATGTAATAATTTTCGTTTTTTACAGATACAACTCAATATTGTCCATCATACGATGATCTTATTTTTATCCTAATTCAGGTCTATTAATAAACGTATACTGTTATATTCAACACAGGTTTACAATCGTTAAACCATGTAACCATGTAATAAAATTATGATAAGTATAAGGTCACAGATAACTATGTTCAAAAAATTTACATCATCATCATCAATCTCTTTCTGCTGTCTATCCAAAAAAAAACTTCAAAGATGGTGTAGCGAAATTTGAAGTTTGACTTGATCATGATTATAGCACCGAATCATAACTCTTTAACTTTGGGACATCATATTATAATGTGGTATATATTTTTATTCTCTTTTTGTATCTTTTTGCAATGTGAAGCTTTTTATTGAATGGTCTTGGGTTTCTTTTTATAGGTTATTTAACATAATTTTTATTTAGTTAATAATTAAATAGATTTTGACTATGGCTCTATATTTATGTGAAACTGTTAATTTTTTTCAATACTGTTATTTCCTTTTCCCTTTTCCATGAACTGAAAGTTCCTCGAGTGTAGTCAGGATGGTCATTGTGAACATTTTATTTGGCCATTTACATTTATGTAGAGGACACCTATTGACGTAGGTAATATGTTCATTATACACTGACACATACTTTGGATCTGTCATGCGTTTGTTTCCCCTTTTCCAATCCTAGTTTTCATTTTGGAATCATTGGCACCCTAAATTGTTTAATAATTTTATCAAGTTATTTTTCATTAAATTATGGCAGTGGTCTGGAAAACACAAACAAAAAACTTATGTATAATATTATGTGCCATTGCTCTAATAAATTAGAAAATATCAGGGCTCTTACAATGCTTTAGACTTTATTCTATATACACGAAAGACTTGATTGGACTAATTATATAGCTTAAAATTCAATGGCCACCTTTAGAGTGTGACTATTAATAAAAAAAACAATGTATACTCTAAAAATTAATTGAGTGTATACAAGTAAATATAAATGATTTTTCTAATTGTAATAACTCTTGAAATTAATTAAAATGATCTTATACTAAAATTTCATAATTCTCTTATCCTTCTTTTCATCATTTATCCTTTTACATATGTTTAGTCTTTCTTTTACATAAAATTTTGGATATGAATTTTTTTACATTATAAGTAATTTATTATGTTTAGTAAAATTTAGTATATTCGTTTTGCTACATAAATTGTGAATTTCTGTTCTATTATTTTGTTAATTGAAATTTATTTATTTAAATCTTCACTCTTTTCGTTCTATTTGCCTTCTTTTTGTTTATTTATTTTATTATTTTTATTACATAATTAATTTATAATATTTAATTAATTTTAATAATTGTTATATTAAGTCAAAACTATTAATCATTAAACTATTTTCCCCTTAGGAAAAGGTACAAAATCCATGGCGCTCCAGTTTTGCCATTGGTGGACGCTCTCCGGGTTCTTGTTAAGTTAGGCTTATTAAATATGAGTTCAGCTTACAATCATAAAAAAATCTTTGGCCCATTGAAACATTATTGTATTCTCCAGTATTAAAATCAAAATAATGAAAAATTTTTATTTTAATACCAAATATTTCAAAATTTTAAAATACAACAAATTATAAGAACAAAATTTTTAAAAATATTTTCCTGTCGTGTCATCAAACGAAAAATGGGAGTTCCCATAAAGAAAATTGAAACTTAGGTTTTAATTTTTGATGGTATAAAAAAAAAATATTTAATAATATGTTTTTGCATAATTTTTTTAATCAAACAATATTTTCCTTTATGAAAATTGAAACTTTTAATAGCTTCTAAGAAAATAAGTGTCTTATCCGTAATAAATCACCCAGTACTATTTTTTACTATACACGGTATTATCAATTATTTTACTACGTAAAATTGCTATACTTTAAAGTATACTTTTTAGTAAAACTATAACTACTCTTTATAGTATAATGCGTTATAATCTCAATAATAAAAATAATTTTGTTTAGATATACCGTTGATTAAAAAAATGATAATTTAATGGTAATTAATATCACTTTAATTTTATTAGTTAAAATTTATAGAATTTTATTTATTGTTTTTCAATATGTATCATTTTAATATACTACTCAATATTTAATAAATAAATTGTCCGTATTTTTTTATAGGAAAACACAACTTTCTTTTGTTTTAGTTTTAAACTTGGGTTCTTTCAAAGTAATAGACTAATTGAAGTTTTT